GAGAACGACGAAATTCCGTTGTCCACCCACCTTACAGAATTCCATTTCACTTTGAACGCGGGCATGAACGGAGTTAATGTAATTATTCACAATAGGCAGCGTAATGAACACGGCCACAATGGCCACAAGTGAGAAGGAAACGGCCGAGAAGGCGACGAAGCGGTACGCCCGCTCTCGCCGATCTTGGTCCATTCTGAGAGAAGAACTGTAAGAGAGGTGAGAGGTGAGCACAAGAGAGATGGAGAGACGAACGCAGAGCGAAAACGCGACCTAGACACATCCTCATGAGGACATTCGGATGCTATGTTCTTAGCGAAGAAGTGTTGAGGAACTGGATTCGCGACTGGGGCGTAGGGGGAGGAACTCGAGTGAGTGCCCGAGTGCCCGGAACAGCGCTTCTGTTACTCGTAAGGAATGAAGACATTAAATCTTCAGAGTAAAGGTAGAGACAGTGAAGGACAGCAGGCAGAATGCGACAAATGGTCCCGTTGGTTGCTACTTTTATTGTGCGTTTGGGATGTTTGTCTAAGCAAAGCACGTCTTTAAGGCGGTACTAAATGCTGAAGCTAACGGCTTTTATATCCATAGTAGATATTTCTTTCTGTTAGCTTCTAATAGGCGTGTCGCACCAATCGTGGCCAGGGGGAGGGTGCAACGAGGGAAGAGTCCGTTTCAATGTGATGCAGCCTACAAAAAACTGGAGAATGTCGCCGCCGCTTCAGATCTGATGGCCAGACTCCGCCCTAAACTCGCGGGGCTGTGAAATTGCCCCAGCGGAACCTCGGCTTCACAACTCTAGCTCCAAACTGCAACTGGCAACCGGTCCGGTTGAGTATGAGGTTGACATGAAGCGTTGAAAGCGACAGCACAGCCAATTATTCGGGAAAGTTTCTAGGGAATGCACCATTCAGCGTTATAATTAATCGCTGGTGCCGTGCACCGTTTCTGTATTTTTTCAAATTCTTGTCATATAAAAAATAATAAACGCAAGCTTTGCGACTTCTCGGTACATAGATAGGAATAAGTGAATGGCGAATATCAGCCACAATAGTAAATTTAAATTACTTACTTTCTAGAAGATCTTGGCAGCCTATGCTTGGCCTCTTGGAGCTGCATGTTTAAAGAAAGTGGAAATTCTTATATTTATATGTATGAAGCTGCTACAGTGCTATCTCTTTATGTACTATGGTTTTTTGGAGCAAGAATGCTGATTTCAACCAGTCCTAGTTTTTCCCGTATACCACATACTTTTACACCCCAAACCTTTAAAAGAAGTAATTGGCTATAATTGCTCAATGCTTACATTCCACTTTGCATGGGGCTTCCATCCCACAATTAAGAAACCGCTTTGATACTCAGAC